GGAAAACACCAGCAATGTGCTCACATTCCAGGTAGAGCCATCCCCCAGCCTCAGCCCAGGGAAGCTGTGAGGGATGAAATGTGGATATGGATCCTCCTGCTGGCACTGACAGCTTGGGCTGGGAGGGACCCTAAGGATCATCCAGTTCAACCCCTCTGCCATGGGCAGCATCTCCTTCCAATCCACTGTCCCTGCCTAAAACCCTGGCTCCACCATGTCTGGAACAGCAGCAGTCACCAGGATTCAGATAAAACCCCAATAAACCAACTCTACTTCTCCCAATTTTCATTAAAACCCTGCTCTGCAGGAGGGGGAGAAAAGGGAAGTGTTTTGGTGTCCCTTTGGGCACCATCAGGCAGCACTGATGTCACAGCTTGGGAATCAGGCTCTGGCCAGCTGGAGCGGGCAGACTCTGCTGGAAAACACCTGCTCCCTTTGCCAGGGATAAGATTTCGGAGTAGCTGGAAAAACAACAGTGTCCATTCCCACTGGGATCTGTCCCAGCAGAACTGGGATCTGTCCCTTTGAACTGGGGAAAAGGAGCCAACAGACCCAGATCCCACAGAAAACACAGACATGGTGACTTTATAAACTCATTCTGGAGGAGAGAATAACCAGGAATTTCTTTCCTGGATGTGATTTCTGCAGGGAGACACCATGGGCTTGATGTGGAAATTGCTCCATGTTAAGGGAAAGATGAGGAAGGTGTGGAAGTCTGCAAAATTAATCCCTTCTCCATCAACAAGAGAAATTAAAGACTCTGAAACTACTTAGCCAACCTTGGAAGAGCCAAATGAAATTCCTGCAGGACATGGAAAGCAAAGGAGCAAGGAGTGCTGAAGACAAGGAGCGGAATCTGTCTGCAGAGATTACTTTCCTGGCTTATTTGGGATAAAATAAAAACAAAGGCTGAGGACAAAATGAGAGGTTTGCAGAGGTATTCAAGTCCAGGCCTTGGTGCCATCAGAGGTTTGGATTTGCCTGACCCAGCAAAATTTTTTTTTACCTTTTCCCCAATTTCAGCAGCTCATGATCCTGCCTTTGCTTAAGTGCATTAAGTACAGAAAGGTCTAAACATTTGGAGAAGAAATATCCTGGCATCTATTGGCAAAAAGTTCTGTTGGATAGGAAAGTAATGGAACGTTAAGTGCTGATAAATAAACAAACCAAGATTTTTAAATGAGGCCTTTTTAAAATTGCAAGGGGATGGCTTCAAATGAGCACTTGCCTTTTGTTTTTCTTCTCTGCCATCTCTCTCAGCACTTAAAATTATTTACAAATTCTTCTGAATGCTTATTAAAAAATGCCCAAAATTGAAAAGATGATGCTTTGTGCTTCCATTTGATTCCAAAGAGATTTTTGGTTGCTATGTTATAAAACTTTTCAAAGAAGGTTTTAAATGGAAGCCATGACAAACCATGAAACATTAGGAATTCCACAGCATTAATGAGCTCTTGAAGGGTTAGAGAATCACAGAATTGTGGAGTGGTTTGGGCTGAAGGGAACTTAAAGCTCACCCAGTCCCACTTCTGCCATGGCCAGGGACGCCTTCCACTATCCTAGGTTGCCCCAAGCCTCATCCAACCCGGTTCTGTTCAGGAATTTTCCTTTAAAATCTTTTCCAGCATCAGCCTTGGTTTCTGTAAAGTGATGTTTTTTCTCTTTTGCCCCAGAAAAATGCCACTATTACTGATATTTTCCTTTAGTTTTCCTGGAAAAACCCTCAGTGAAACACCCTGTTCGAACACAATTAAACTTGTTGGTTTAATCACCCCAATAATGATCCTTTGGGATCACCCAGACATTAAACATTATTCCACAGGAGTTGTGGTCCTAAAGCTGATGCTTTAAAAGTGTGAAACCTTTAGAAGCTGTGCCACAGGATGAGAAAATGAGACAGGATATCATGAATGCATTGCAGACAGGCAAAAAAAATTCCAAATACAACAATTTGAGGCAAAAAGTCGATGTTTTGGGCTCATGGGGGTGTTCCCTTCCCCAGGCAGGGTTCCTAAACCACTCAGATGCTACCAAGCTGCCCTTGGATGCTCCATTTGTGCCACAGCAGCCTGTTCATGGATTCTTTGGATGGAAGGCTCCATGGAAGCCTCAAGATGAACCAATCCATGCAATATTTATGGCCCAAATGACAAATGAGTTCTGCTGGGGCAGGAAAGAACAGGGAGGAAAGGAGCAATAAAGGAACAAAGTTAATGCCTTGATCATGTATATTCCAGTGGCCTTCAAATGCCAGCTGGATTTGGGTTCTGCTCTTTGGCTCTTTGGAGCGCTCCTAAGTGCCCTGAAGGTGGAAAACTGGCACAAAAAAGCCTCAATTGACTGAAAATACTCAGCAGGTTTGATAGCAGAAGAATTAAGTGTTGATCACCGGGAAATGCAATATGCTCCTTTTCCGGGCAAAATTATCCCATAAATTCAGGTGTTTCTGCCTGGCTAAAATCACTGGGAATTGCACATCCCAGTCCCAAAGGCACTCCAGCACTGACACAGCCAGAGACAGCCCAGAAGTGTCATTTCCATGGAGTTTCTGTGCATAGACAGCAAATTCTGCAAAGAGAGGGTAAAACTTCTGCTTCCAAACATTGTGCCTTCTCAGCAGCCACACTTTCCAATAAGATAACAGCCCAGTTTCCCTTGTTTTCCAAAATAACTCCAGATTATTGATGTCCTGCCAATGTTTTAACAAGGAGAGTTCACTAAATCCCACCCTGTCCCAAGTCTAGGACGAACACCATGGGATCAGGGTGGGGACACCAAATGGGTTGTGCAGAGATGAAGGGCCCAGGAGTCTGCTCCTTGTTTTTCCATTTTAAAGCAAACACTCTTCTGTAACTGGAACCAAGAAGAGAGGCAGCCTCCTCCTTTCTTCATGTTTGGCAAATAAACCTCTCTTAAGGGCACTGTGTTGGGAATGTTTGTACTTTATTTATTTAAATAAAAATACACAGAGTGGGTTGATAGCACAACATTCGGCCTGTTTAGGAGGAGAAGGATAAAGGCATCCATGGATTATTTTCAGTGCCTTGAAAGGCAGCAAGAATATATTGCTCTGGGGATGCTTTCTTTCTCATCAATACCAAACAGTTTATGTTCCATAGGGACAAAACTGGAATTTTTGGTTTTTTATGTGATCTCTACAGGTTAGAGAACACCGTTATGGCTCAACCTACAGATTGCACTTTTCCAGCTTCTAGTTCTGGCTGTAGCAGAAAAAAATGCTCCTTATGAAAGAAAAAAATAATTCCTAAATTCAGTCACCAAGTGGTGACTGAATAACCTGCTCACTACAGCTTCTGGGTTTAATAGCAACCACGGATGGAGACAAAGCTGGAATCACTATGGTGGTTTAGAAGGATGAACTCCACAAAGGGCGTAAATCCCATTCCCAAACTCCTGTAACATTTTTAGGAGTTGTTCTCCCAGCCCTTGAAGTTCCCAACAGCTGAAGACTTTTGTCAGGAGAGTTTAATTAAACCAATAACTCCGAAGAGAAAGCAAACATCCCAGCCAGGCACAGCTGCCTGGGTCCGTTCCAGCAGCAGCAAAGTTGGCACAATCACCACATTCTGCCTAAATTCTGTAAGAGGCACAGAAGTTTTGGGTTAAGATTTATGCTGCATTTAATCTTTAAGGGGCCATCAGTCTCTTCTCTAATGGGTTTGCCCAGCCCGGACAGTTTTGAAGCTCAGACTCAAGATGTTAATCTGGGCAAAGGTTTCAGTGAGCTCATCCTAAACACCCAGCTCCCGATATCCTTCTTTCCCTAAAAAAAAAGCTTTCGAATGCCAGCGGTGTTGGTCAATGGTTCCCACTGAGAGCTCTCACCCTCGCATGAGAATGGGTGTGAAAAGCGGCCGCATCTCCCCAGGGATCAGCATTTCCATGCAGCCTCCTGCAAATGCCCCAAAACCACGAACCTGGGTTCCTGTGCAAATTTACTGGTGATACTGGCGAGTTTTCCATCCTGAACCTGACAGCGATGCCTTTGGCCGTGCCGCCACCATTCCCCCACGTTTTCTGCCTCTATTTTTACTACACAAATAAAATGGACCTTTGCCCACCGGGAGCAGGAAACATCTGCCCCGGCAGCGCTCTCGCTCCGAATCCACGCTGCTGTTTTTGTGTCGCGTTGAGCCGGGGGCTCGCAGGGGCTGGGGCCGGGCAGCCCGGAGCTGCGGGCTGTTACTGGAGATCCTCAGGAAGTTATTTGCATGGAGGGATAAAAGCTGTGGCAGCAGCCGGCTGCGCTGCAGAGGCCACCCAGCCGCGGTGGCCAGCAGCCCGAGGAGCTACATCCATCGCAGCTTGCAATGAGTTGTTTACTGGCCTTGGCTGCCTGTGGGAAGAGCCAAGGAGAGCGGAGGAAGAGGAGAGACAAACACAATGCGAGCGAGACGCGTTAGGGGGGAGGCTGGGCTTTCGCAGCAGCCCCGGCGTTTCAGCCCTGTGCAAGCAGAGAGGGCTGAAAAGGGAATAAAATGAACCGTCCGCCGCCTTGCTGCTGCTGCCAGAAGAGCCTCGTCCCAACCTGAAGAGCTGATATCGGAGGTAAGAGTGGGAAAAGAACCAGTTTTTAGGCAGAGGGCGGCTTGACCGCGCGGCTCTCGGGGGCAGCTCCCGGGCAGAAGCAGCCACGCTTCTCTGAGTATTTGTAATTATGGCCCTGGAGAAGGAAAGCTGACCGGCTTTCCAGCAGGAATCCAGCGATTCAGGGCAAGAACCCAGAGTGTTCCAGTCAGCTCCTCTGAGCAGATTTGAAACAAAACAACAACAACCCCCAGCCTGACAAACAGCGCCTTTCTAAATCTGCCCAGGGAAATATTTGCTATTTTATTTTCACGGCCAACTTTGCTCTGCAGCTTCCTAATCTTTCCCAGTGCTCTCCCGAGTCTCAGCTCCCCACTCTGCTCCACATTTTTTTTTTTTTTTTTAATTGGAAGGCACAATTACGGCCGCGGGTTGGAAAATCCGAGCTTTGAGGAGCTTTTCCCTGCTCGTTCCCATCGGGCACGCTCTCCCAGGCTGGGTCCCCCGGCTAATTGCTCAGGAAATCCGCGCTGCTCATTGTCGGGCTGTCCTTAAGCTGCAAATTCCGAGCTGGGAGAGGCTCTGGGAGGGAATCCATGGATAGAGCCCCGCGAGAGGGACCCAGCGGAGACCCGGGGCGGGGCGGGCTCCGCCGCTAATAACACATCCCTGCCCAATGGAAAGCGTTTCCTATGGAGACCCCCAGGAGTTTCCCCCTGCCCACAGCCCCTGCCCAGACATTGGGCCCATTCTTGCGTCCCGTTTTCCCAAGGCACGATGGCAGCAGCGCTCGGCAGCCCCGATCCCGCTCGGAACAAAGGCCGGGCAGCTGCCAGCCGGCGCGGAGTTTGGGGATGAGCGGCTGAACTCGCACAAAGTGGCCATTCCCGCGTGGGGATAAGGACTCGTGTCCCAGGGACACAAAGGAGTGTCAGGGAGGGATCCCGTGGAAGCCCCGAGCCGTGGGAATGCTGGCGGTCCGGGTAAGTGTCCCCTTTCCCGAGGCAGGAAAAGCGGCCGGGTTTCACGGCAGCTCCGGGTGGGGGTTCTGCGAGCTCGGATGGATGCGGGGGATGAATCCCGCCGGGTTTCACTGGAGATCTGCGGTGTTTTCCCTACGCTGGCGACTCCCCTTCCTCCTGCTCCAGCCCTGCCATGGCTGCTTAAAGGCAGAAAGATGAGCTCCAAGTTTTGGGAAAGTAATTCCTGTGAGAGCTACTCCTCCGGATTGCATGGAGATGGTTCAAACTCCCAGCGTAATTCTCCCTTCCCATCGAGATTCTCGTTGTGGCACTGCAGGTGACAAGTTTAGGACTTTTCTGTCTGTTGTTTGTTTGTGAAAAGGATCCCTTGGTTACAGCTTTCTTTTGTACTTGAAGTCAGTGTCATAAAAGACACTTTAGGCTTATAATGGGTTGGATAGTAATGTGGCATTCACTTCGTTTAATGGAGGGTTGGTTCCCACAAACTATACCAAAAATATTAGGAATTAATTTATAAATATTATACTGAAAAAGATAAAAATTTGTTTTATCGCTTCAGCTGCCATTCATGTCTAAAATATATTCCTTTAAAGCTGCAAAATTCAATGAGAAAAATTCAAAGACTACTCTAAAAACCCGGGTGTCTGAAGTAAAATGAACGATGAACAACATCATTTAAAGATTTGGCTGTTTGGAAGAGAGAGGATTTAATACAATATAAGCACATGGCAGAAAAATATGCAGGAAAAGTTTGGAGGTTTTAATGACATTCCCAAATCATTGTTTGAGAGGAGACAATTGTGTGTGGTTTTGGTATTGCTGCCCTATAGGGACAGAACAGTCAAATCCAGAGAATGGGAAGTGCAAAGTTCACAGCTCGGTAATAAGGACATTCCCCCCCTGTAGTACTTTTCCATCTTCTTGCCCTTAGGAGCATTCCCTAAAAACAAAAAAACAGGCAGGAAACCCTGGTACTTTGGGGGGTTCAAAGACTCTGCATTTTAAAAGAAAGTCCTGAAACACATAGGAGGGAGGAAGGGGGTGGGAGAGGAGGCTGAACAAACATTTCACTGGAATCCTTTGAGGCTAAAAATGACAATCCTCCTCAACTGATAAAAATCGATGTCTTCCAAATTCCAGGGTCAGCTCCACACAGACAAACACAAGGGAAATGCCCCAGTTCCCCACTCCCTTCATTTAGGGCATTGCAATGAGGCACAAAACTCTGAAGCTACACCTGGGGTTGCTGAGGAGGAGGGATGGAAACATTCCCTGGGCAGGGAGAGGATGCTCTCCCAGCTGGAAGATGGATCAGTCCCCCAGCAGTGACTTCATGGCTGGAGCACAGGAGCAGGAATTAAAGCAGTTTTATCCAGAGTTTGGGCCAGATCCTGGGGACAGGGTGCACTGTTGGAGGGGAGGTGGCAAAGCAATTTGGGATTCTGTCATTGCAGCTCTTGGAGCCGTTTGGGTGGATGCCACGTCCATGATCTATCAGTGCTGCTGCCCCTCACCCTGCTTACAGCATATTTGGGATTTGGGGCTCTATTTCCTGATGTCTGAGCGTTACTGATCAGGGCTGTGTGGCTGGAGTGGAGTTCCCAGCCTGCCGGGGCTCCAGGATCCCAAAGGAGCCGGCAGGGAGGGCAGGGCTGGGTGGGGATGGCTCCTGGAGCACTCAGCCACCCTCAGCAGGTCCTTCCAGGTCAAGCGTGCGTGCAGAGCCTCACTCTGCTCCTCCTCCCGAAATAAGGATCCGATTTAGTCCTGGGGAAGTTGAGCCACCACTTTCCACAGAAGGGAAATTCTCTCCCTGAAAAGAGGAGCTCTTTATTCCCAGAGCAGAGAGTGGCTCTGCAAGGCTTCCTCCTGCACCAGCTCCCAGTTCGGCCCCATAAAAGGGGTAAAGATCCACCCTGCTCCACAGCCAGACCAGCCTGAGCTGACCCTGGCTGCAGGAAAATTCCCTGGATTATTTGTAATGGGTTTGGGTGGTAGGAAAAGGAAGATCTCTTTATCTTGGCAAGTGAAATTAAGGGACATTCATCAGTCCCCGAGCCCTGAGACAAAGGTGTGTTCTGGCAGCAGAGCAGATCCTTTCTCTGGTCAAAACATGAGCTCATCAGGCTGTGAGACCCTGTGATGCTGTAAATACACAGCCACAACAGACCTCTTCTTTTCCTCTAATAATATTCCCATTTTCCTTTCTTGAACCTGCTGACAACTCACGCTATTACTCCCCAGCATGTTTTACAGCTGGATATAACCATATTTAGCAGGAAAAGCAGCATCCAGCCCTTGCATCATGCCAGAATGTCATTGCCTTGCCCTCATCTTATAATAGGAAATCTGATTTCTAAGAAGCTTCACTGCAGAAGCATTGCTGGCTAGCTGAGATTGGATATTTCTGCATTGTGGAGTAATTTCTTAAGTTATTTTACCACTTTACAGAAAAAGACAGGTTGGACAAGGCCTGGAGGTGGAAAGTGTCTCTGTCCATGGCAGGGATTGAACAGGATGGGCTTTAAAGTCCCTTCCAACCCAAACCATCCTGGGATTCTACAGTCCTCAAAATTTCCCCTTTTCCCCTCAGCATAAAGCCATTTAAGAGAATAAAGCCCTATTAAATCAACACCCTGTAGTAAATAAATGCAGGGCACAGATCCCTCAAGGTCCCAAACACGGATTTTGTCCAGTCCCATGGACAAACTGGCCCAGCACCCAAAGGAATACAGACAGCCCCTCCAACCAGGCCACCTTGCCAAGGTGAAATTGGTGTTTGTGCTGCTGTGCTGGCACCTTGTTGCAAGGCAAGGCCAAAACAGTCCATAATTTCTGAATTAGGGAGGAGAAGGTTCAGCTCTCCCATTTCAGCAAAGGGAGTGCAGAGCATCCAGCCCAAGGGGATGAGGATGGGGTGACAGGAGGGCTCCAGGTGGCTCAGAGGAGCTGAGGAAAGGCAACAAGGAGCCAAAAAGCCAAGGAATGGGTGAGGAATCACTGGAAATTGTGTCAGGGAAAGCAAAGAAAGGCAGCTTGTTGGGCAGGCTGCTGACAGGGAACCTTTTGGAGCTGTGAGCAAATAAACCCAGGCCTGTTGTTGGAGTCTCCAGTGGCTCAGGGAAACAGGAGTCTCTTATTTTTTATGTTGGTTTTTTTTTTTTTTTTTCCTTTTTCCTTAGCCACACTTTGTAATGAACCAGAGCTACATCAAGGACACGGCAACCTCTACCACAAACATTATTCCTGGGTGAAAACAACCTGGTCAGACAGGGTAACTTTGCTTTTCAGCACTTCATCAGCTTTTCTTTGCATCTAAATCTCCTCTATTGAATCCAGCTCTGCCATTATCCAGCAATCCCTGGGGCTCCAAACAAGCAGCATTCCCGCACTCCTCCAGCACCAAAGGCCGTGCAAAAAGCCGCTCTTACAAGTGTTAAATAATGCAAACTTCGCCGAGAAGTTTGGGGTGAATCCCATCGCTTCTTGGCTGCGGCCCAGCCCCTCTGGAGGCTGCTGGGGATGGGGAAAGGCAGAGCACGCCAAGGGTTAAAGGGTGATGTAAATGGAGAGAGACATTCTCAGAGCAAACAAAAGGAGAGTCATGCCCTGAGGATCAGTGGCTGAATATGGGGTAAGGCAGTCCGCGAATCTTCTCTGAAGGAAACATTTTAATTAGCTCAATCCAAAACAGATACAGCCCAGAGAAGGCACCACGAGCAGGAAATGCTTTGTAAGTCTCAGAGGACAGCGAGGAGACAACGGCGGTGCTGAGCAATTAAAAACAAAAAGAAAATAAGGGTAGAAAAAAAAGGGAGAGCGCCTCTGGGGTTCGGGCTGAGAGGCTCAGGTTTCCTTCCCTGCTCCGTCCTGGAGAAGAATGGAAATCGGGGTCCTGCTGCATCCGTGCGCCACAGAAAGGAGCTGCTGGGCTTGGGGGTGTGAGGGTGCCCAGGAGCCAAAGCCAGCTCAGAGCGGGGGACAGGAGCGGCCGGTGGCTCCCACCTCATCCCTGCCATGGATTCATCCCCAAGCGGCGCCACGTTTCGGGTTTTCCTCTGAAAAATCGGCTGCTGAAACCTGCCTTGGAGCGCGTCACTCCCGACCCCGGCTCCCCGCAGGTACAGGAGGCGATGCCGCACCCGCAGCAAGGGCTGGCGAGTGCCAGGTCGGGTGACACTGAGCACAAGAAGTGTCAAAGCCATCAAGAAGAGCCTTCCTGCCCTGCTTTTTAGGCTAATCACCCGCAAACGTCCCCATTCCCCGGCATACCGGCCAGGCATTCACTGCGATAAAGCAAAGGGTAAGAATGGCTCTTTGAAGATCCACAAACCTCCACGGACTTCAAAGTGCCACTTCTGCCTGCTCTTTCCCCACTGTTCTCCAATACATCACTTAGGATTAGGAAATGAAAGAGATTAAAGCGTTTCTCCTTGCCGGCGTTTCGGATCGTCAATGGAGCTTTGTTTACAGGCAGCTGCTCCGCTTCCCACCCTCTAATCCCGGCCTTCCCTCGCTCCTACCGCACCGGGGAGGAAAACTGGGAATCTGCCAGGAGCTCCGGGGAGGATGGAGCACTCGCAGCCACTCAGCGAGCTGAGCCCAACCCCAAAATTGGCGTCCCAAGCTATTTCCCATCCTTACGTCTTGCTCTGGAGAAGCCAGATCCAGCATCACCTGCTCCAGCTGGTCCAGCTTTCCATAACCCCACACTGCTGGCTCTGGGAAAACGGAGACAGCATCACTGTGCAGCACCAGCTCCTGCCCTGGCAGCCTCCAACAGGAACAAATCAGCCACCAGATTGCCCCAGACTGGAGGTTTGTCCTTAAAGCTGCTGCCAGTTCACACTCTCACAGCTCTCCCTGAACAAAACCAACTTCTACTGAAAAAAAAGAAAGTAGAAGTGGAAATTCCATTGCAGGAACTGAGATGTTCAGTTTTTCAGATAGAAAAATGTTTTGGTTTTTTATAAATATAGAATAGTTTTGATTTTATCTATTCAAACAATTGCAGTTTAATCCTATTTTATCTATAGTCACCAGTCTGGAAGAACTCAAGTCTTACAGACTTACACAGAATTATCATCTCTGCAAAAATCTGCCAAAACCCCAAACATCTCCCCACAAAAAAAAAAAAAAAAAAAAAAAAAAAAAAAAAAAAAAAAAAAAAACCCCAAAAAAAAAAAAAAAAAAAAAAAAAAAAAAAAAACCAAAAAAAAAACCCCACACCTTTATTTGTACCTTCTGCCTAATTAAAGTGGAACAAAGGAAGGAAATAAACACCAAGAAGCTGCAGAGCTGAGTTTGCTGTAAAGCTGTAACCCTGGGCTCTGTGGTGGGACTAAGTTACACATCCCACAGGTGTTGCAGCAATGGGGCGAGGAGCAGGGAATGCAAACCCTGGAGTGAATGGAATTCTTGTCAGGAGAAGGCAGAAATAAAGCTCTTGCTGTGCCCCAGGAAAATCCTTATTTATTTCCAAGGCTGGGGCTGAGACCCTATCAAAACACAAGGAGTGGTGCCATAACCTGGGACAAAACCCAAAGAAACCTCCCCAAACCCCACTGTCCTGCAGGTTTTGGCTTCTCTGTCTATAAACCTTTGTTCCTCAAGATTTAGGAGATAACCTGAGTACACATCATGATAATCCAGCAAAGATCCTCCAGCTTTGGGAGGTTTTCCCATCAGGGCTGTGCCAGACCTCCCAAACCCAGAGTTCAGTTGTTCAAATGAGCACACAGGGTGTCCTTCACGTCCAGACTGATAAAATTCCTCTCATCTGACATCTCACATGACTAAAAGAAAATGTGATGACGCCAAAAATGCCAGCCCCAAACTTCACGCTGTTTTTTTCTGACCTCAGCTTGCTGCACACGTGGAGAAGGGGATCAGTGAGACCAGGAAGAATGGGATAATGGAATGACAGGGGCTGCTTTTAAATTTGTTTTTTCCCTGCAGTAATTCCTTTTCTAACAAACAGCTCCTCTGGATGGAGCTGCAGTCTGGCAGTTCGGAGGTGTCTTGGGGTGCTGGGAGGAGGAAATACAGGAATTGTAAACAGGATACTCAGGCACCATAGGAAGTAACACCAAGATTTCCTCTCTTTTCAGTCCGTGGAGGATGGGATATTTCTACTATAAAAGAGCAAAGCCTGGAGATAACTCTGCTGAACCTTGCTCTGAATTACAGGGTTTTGTAAGGGATGGCTGCTGGGGGTTTGCTGATACCATCCTTGCTAGGAGAGAGAATATTCTGAATTTTATCACACTAAACAGGGGGTTTATTCCATTACATTCCTCCCCTCCTGGACTGGCCCCTAGTTGAAATATAGGATTTAAAGCTTTGCCCTGCATGAAAGATAAAAAAACCTACTTTGTCATCCAGTATTTACTCAGCTTTTTAAAAATATATTGCTTTACTTTTTCCCAGCAAGGAACAGCAGTGGTGACTGTGGTGTCCATGAAGAGCATCCCACTGCTTTAATCCATAGTGGAAAGGAAGGAAAGGGAATTTTACACTTGGAAAACTCAATCTGTGGACTCGTCCTACAGAATTTAAAGCACATGGCTGGGTTTCAAAGCCACTTGTCAGCTTGTTTAAACACCTCAGGGTTCAATAGGTAAACAAGGCAGGCTGTATTTTAAAGCCCATAAGTTAACTAGACAATTGCTGGCAGGCAATTCCCAGAGATTAGACACTGGAAAAAACGGGATTTGACCTTGGGGCTGTCTGGAGCAGAGCAGGAAGAAAAGAGTCAGGTGATGGAGCATCTTTTTTCTTGTGTGAGGAATATCGGGGTCAGGCAACGAGCACTTGGTCAGCAGCAAAGGTGAGAGTTCCAAAGGCACCCTTCAAACCCGGGTCTTGAGGAACTGCCAAAATCCAGGCCAGGTTGGAAAGTTTTCCACTGGGCTCCCAGGCTGTGTGACATTTCTAAGGACACCCAATCCCTCTGAGATCTCCCCAGCAGGACCCAGAGTGGACCCTGAACCAGGAGAGTGTGGCACACCTGGGCTTCACACACCCAGGGAGTCACATTCCAGCAAAAGCACAAACTCCTGATGGAGATAACAGGGAGTGTCTGCACTGGGAGGGAGCTCCAAGGATTTAATGCTTTAGGCTGAAGGTTAAGACAAGGCTCACTATTCCTGTTGGAGCTCATGTGAGCTTTCCAATCCAACTCAGCTCTTGTTCAAAGGCATTTGAACTTTCAGCAAGACCTTTCCTTTTTTTACTTTTACCACAGATCCAAAGAAAGTGAGTTGAATCCCACATTTGAGATTTTACTCCTGTCCTTCCCATAAATTTAAATATTTGAAATCCGTTTTTTAGCTTGTTTCCCAATAAAGCTCATTTACCCATGAATTCAGCAGGAAAAACATCTCCACAGGAGAGACCTTCAAGTTCCAATTCATCTTTTTGGATGTCAAAAGGACAAAGTCATCTGGGAAGGTAGATCTGGGCATCCTCCTTTCTTGCTACTTTGCCAGGTGCAAAGGTGAGGTGCTGCCTGCTCCTAGGGTCACAGCACCAGTTTTTGGGAAGCCTGTGGTTCTCCAGACATTCCCAGGTGAGGAACTTGCCCCTTCCACCCAGCTATCCCAGCTTTCCCAACATGTCCCATTTTACCAGCAAGGCTGACAGCTTGCATGCGAGAACTCCCAGGAGGAAAGCATACAGAAAACGTCTGATTTTGATCATTTGCATCCCAAAATTTTCTTGAAACCTTGTTTTCCATTTTATTTGTTTATCTGTTGCCATTGCAACCTTTAACACAACTCAGTGACAAGTTTGGAGCTGAAACTCCTCTGTCAGGAATTCACTCTGGAAAGGATCCCACTCTTCACAAGGGTTTCACCTCCAAACTACTCCCAGTTGTAGCTCCTAAATTTTTTAGATTACAAGGAGATTCCAAACTAGTTCTTATTTGGTTGGCTGGGGTTTGTAAGGAATAGGTCTTTCCCTTCATGACCCAACTTTGCTCCACATTTCCAAGAAGTGCTGATGATCCAACTCACAAAACCTCCTTGCTCCAGAGAGACTTTCCTCAAGGAGACTTTCCAAGGGATTATTCTCTTAAAAATACTTAAAATAGTCAGGAGAGATGATTCAGGGAGTTCAGGAAGCACCTCTGTCCAAGTAAAAACGTGCTCACTTCATGTGTCTCCAAAGCTTGTTGAGGTGGGACAAAGTCTTACACGGGTGTAGTACATGAGATTTCCCAAATTTCACATTCCAAACCTCAACAAAGAATGGGAATGAAAAGCAGCTGTTGGTACAGCTTAGAGGAATCTTTCTTGGGAGAGTTTTACACTTGCAAAAAAGTTCCTTTTGGAAGTAATACCATATTTGCAGACATTTTTAAGCAGGGGAAGAAAGGGAAACACAGCTTTGGGAAGTGTTTTTGCTAAATATTTCTGAGCTACAACAGTTTTCCACTTTGGAAAACATGTAAGGATGCTCCTATTTTCAATTAGAAAAAAAAGGCAAAGCAGCTCTTTTTTGTCATAAATTTTGATGAATCTTTTTAATACTTTTGCACCAAAAAATTTGAAAATCCATGGAACTTGCCTTTGTGCCCAGTTTAAAGCAAACACTACAACTTCCAGCTTTTCTCCTGCTGTTACAGGTTTAGGGCAAAATTTCAGATGTTTCATTCTGTTAAATTGATTTCCAAACATACTGGGCCAATTCCATCTCAGATTTTATAGAAAAACCTTTCCAGGGGGAATGTTGGAATTATCATAGGACAGTTTGGTTTGGAAGGGACCTTAAAGCCCCTCTTGTTCCAGCCCCTGCCGTGGACAGGGACACCTTCCATAGAACTGGTTGCTCAGAACAATCACTCTGCTTCAAACAGGAGGATGGGGGAGTGCTGGAAGGAAAGGAAAGGCTAAATTCAGTAAATGCTGTCTTCAACTGTGAAAAACATCAGTAATAGTGGAATTTGTAAAGACTCGCTTAAAAATGAATTCCTGCTCTTGTTTGCACATCCATTAATTTGGGAATTTCTCTTGCACAGCCACTTGGGTTCAAGACTGATGGCAGTTCTCTTCTCCTTTAGGATGAAAGGATCCATGAGGGAGATGCGGTAGGAAGGAGTCCAGCCACCTCCCTGGAATGTGTTCCTTCGGGAAGGGACGAGCTCCTTGCCTTATTTTATGGATGTCACTGAAGTAGACTTTGAGGCCTTTGGAAGCCCATCCCTGACTTGGCATGGGAAACCACAGCAACAACCATACCTGCCTGACAGATGATTCCTTCAAGTACAACCTGTACGGAGCCGTGTACAGCGTGGTCTTCATCCTCGGCTTGATCACAAACTGCGCCTCCCTCTTTGTTTTCCTCTTCCGGATGAAGATGCGGAGCGAGACGGCCATTTTCATGACCAACCTGGCGGTTTCAGACTTGCTTTTTGTGTTCACTTTGCCCTTTAAGATTTTTTACAACTTCAACAGGCACTGGCCCTTCGGGGACAGCCTGTGCAAGATCTCGGGCACGGCGTTCCTCACCAACATCTATGGGAGCATGTTGTTCCTCACCTGCATCAGCGTGGATCGCTTCCTGGCCATCGTGTACCCCTTCCGCTCCCGCACCATCCGCACCAGGAGGAATTCTGCCGTCGTCTGCGCCGGCGTTTGGATCCTGGTCCTCAGCGGCGGAATTTCGGCCTCGCTGTTCTCCACGACCAACGTGTCCAACACCAGCACCACCTGTTTCGAAGGGTTCTCCAAAAGGATCTGGAAAACCTACCTGTCCAAGATCACCATATTTATTGAGGTGGTGGGATTCATCATCCCTCTGCTGCTCAACCTCACGTGCTCCTCGCTGGTTCTCCGGACTTTACGGAAGCCGGCCACCCTGTCCCAGATTGGGACGAACAAGGAGAAAGTGCTGAAGATGATCATCGTGCACGTGGCCATTTTCGTCGTGTGCTTTGTCCCCTACAACTCCATCCTGTTCCTGTACGCGCTCGTGCGCTCCCAGGCCATCGCCAACTGCTCCCTGGAGAGGTTTGCCAGGACCATGTATCCCATCACGTTGTGCATCGCCACCCTCAACTGCTGCTTTGACCCCTTCATCTACTACTTCACCTCTGAGTCCTTCCAGAAGTCCTTCAACATCAAACCCCAGATCAAAATGGATTCTCTTTTCAAGACGGAGATGCCGCTCACAAAGACGGCGCTGCCGGCGCCGCAGGATGAGATCAGTGACCAGGCCATCACCAACGGAGGAGATCCCACATCTGAATCCCATTTCTAGGGAGATGTTTACACAGGGAGTTACCCCCCATTAACTCCTGATTAACACCACGTGGCAAAGAGCAGCTCCAGAAAATGGGGGTTCACACGTGGGGTTAATGAAGAAAAGCTGCTGGGGGACGACAGATCCTCGCACTGGATGGTCCCATCACGTTCCACAGGTGAACATAAAGCATGAAAATCCCAATGGATCTCCCTTTGGAGATTATGGATAGGCTACAACACATGCATCAACTCAGGAGGGAACAGAACAGCTTCTTTAACCAGAAGATGCCAATATTTGGCATTTTCCCCCCTCAGCAGTTGACATGGGACCAGTTGGGAAATAGAAAATTTCATTTTCTTAGAGATTCCTGCCAATATTTCTGCCTCTTGCAGGTGCATCCTCATATGTTAACTCAGTAACTTCCCACAATATTGTATGTTTGCTTACAAAGGCATAATAAAAGCTTGTGGCTTTTCCTTACTCCACTGCCAGAGTGCAGAGCCTGGTTTTCCTAGAGACTGGGATTTATGGAGAGGTTTGAAGTGTAAATAATTGTTTAGCAATTAGGTAAAAGAGCTGCTTGGTGACAGAAAAGATAAAAAGAGAAAAACATAATTATTGCTACAGTTTTGAAAGATGAAATTTCATTTTTATCAGATTAAGCTGTCATTTAATTTATTTGATTATTTTTAATGCCACATCTGGGGAGGAGTAAAGAGCTCATTAATGATCTGTTGCACCTGGGCTTTTATATCCCAGGGGACTATATGACTATTTGTGGGAAGGGCTGGACTGTAAAGGCAGCAGGAGAAGGGCCTGAAACCCCAGAGTTCTTTCAAGGGCAAAGCTCCCGTTCAGAAGCTGAGGCAGCTGAAGGCCCAGGAGTGCTGATCCCACTGAAATATGGACAAGTGGTGTCACAGCACCCAGCTAAGGGAGGATCTGTGATTGCTTAATGGGTTTTTAGGGCCTCAAAGTAACTCAAAAAACCAATTTGCTGCACTCTTTTCTTAGCTGGTTACAGCAATGTTGTCTTGTTTTCCAATTAATTTATTACCTTTCCTTTTATAGATTACGGAAATATATGGAAAATTAATTATTTGTATGTGTTGCATTTTACCACCTGGTTCCTTTCTCCAGCTCTTGGCTCGTGTTTGAAGCTCTACAGCCCTTCCCAGGCTGGTTCATTCTTAAGTGTAAGACACAGAAATGAGGAGAACAATTTCATTTGAAAAAATATAAAGTTACAACTTGTTAGCTCAGCAATCTAAATTACCATGGCAAAGCTATTTCTTGGGAATTATTGCCAAAAAAAGAGACAAATTATTAATTGAGCAGATGTTTTCCACTCAACTCTATTTTAAGTCTCTCTGATGAAGCCTCATGAGATACAAGAGCAGCACCTCAAATGCGATCATTTAAAGCAGCAGAGGTGTGTGAGAAGAATTCAGCTGTAAAATGTTAATGCTTCCAAGGGAATATTTATTTAGCACTGCATTCACTTTGAATAAAGAAGTCAGTGGCTAACCAAGGTTGAGAGACCCCAAAAATGATTTTATTTCAGCCCTAAAATGTCAGTTATTGGAGAAAAGCATATGATCAACTCATTATACACAGAGAGCATGAGAGCAGCCAAAAATATTCTATTTCAGCTCTGAGTTACAGCAATATTTACTGGAAACTTGCACACAGGACTGGCCTGGGAGGCTTTTCTGGAGATTAAACTGTCAGACAATTGCACTTTGGCACAGAAGAATGTGAAAACAGGGAGAGATAATTGAAAAAAAGTTGGTGGAATGAGGTCAGTGTGGCAGGACGAGGAATAGGCAACGACAGGGATTTTGTCAGCAGCTGGGAAAGGTTTACCTCCAACCCAAGGGATGAACTGGGCTTTAGGAAGCAGCAATATTTGCCATTTAACCAGTGCTTTGACACTTTTCCTGCTTGTCCCCATTTCCTACTGTACCCAAACTCTTCACAGGGAATTCTAAAATTCCTGTTTCCTTTGGTTGATCAGCCCATCTCAACCCCTGCCTTGAAATGTGGGCATTTCAGAGAAGTTGTTCCCTTCAGATCAAAAGGCAAAGAGAGGGATTGGCCAGGCTTCCCTACAGGCAGAGTTCTCCCTGTGGAGCAAATCCTTCATCCCATGGAGGAGAGGAGGGTTGGGGAACCATCAACAGCTCTGACACACCCCAAACTCTGTGAGAAATGGGGCACCCCACCCCAAAACCCTGCCAGGAACTGGACTTAATGAGACACAAGCTGCATTTTTTTAGGGATGAGAGAGGGAAGGAAAAAGAGCAAGAAGAATTCATTAACAAGCTTCATTTCTAGGGGTGGGAGAGAGAAGGAACAAGAGTGAGAAGGATTCACATAAAAACTGAAGGGTGCATTTAGAAACACAGAATATTCCGAGCTGGAAGTGACCACAAGGATCATGGAAGTTCAGCCCTTGACCCTGCACAGGATAGCTCCAAGAATCCCATTCTGTGCCTAAAAACATCTTCCTACTTGCAAGAAAAATATTTGTAACATAAGAAAATGCTCTTCTCTGAGGCAAATCCCTGCTTAACTCAGATTTACAGAGATGAAAAACCTGCTTACACTCAGCTTGTTCTCAGTGGGCAACATCCAACTGCCAGGTTGGAAATCTTATTTTAAAGCTGCTGCTTTACATTTGCAAAGCAAGAAGAGATTGCAGAGTTTGTGGGGTTTGGGAGCTTTGTGGGACAGGGCTGTTCTCATGTCTGGTGGCTTCAGAACCTCTCATTTCCAGAGTCCTGAGATACCTCCTGCTCTGGGTGTGCTCCACAGGCCTTCCTCTGGTAAAATCCAAGGGAAGAAAGAAAAATCCAGGCTAGAAACCACTGTCTGGGCTTCTGAAGGAAATGGTAAAAGAGAGGAGGGAAAGAACTGCCTGGGACTGGACAAGCTCCAGGCTCCACATCCATGGCCTGCCTGTAATCCCAGCATAATGGGTGTCTTTTTGGGAGCCAAACCAGTGCCAATGCTTACAAATTTCTGTTTGCAGTTTTATGGGGCAAGAGCTGTGGTGGATATTCTCACATAAAATGTAATCCTATCATCCCATGCCAAAATGCCAACTGAAAAGATCCATTATTTTGTAATTTAAGACCTCATAAATTATATGCAGATCACATGATGACTGACACATCTGCTGGGACAGGTCTTGACTAATCTGTTTTTTTCTAGGTCAGGTATACTGAGTACACACTCCATGGTTTGTGGAGAAATAACCAATTATGCATTCAGAGAGAGGAAAAGTCATCTTTCAGATGTCAGCAAAGCCAAGCTGGGAGGAAAGGGTGGCAGAAAAGTGGATTCCCAGCTTTTCTGGCTGAGGGGCAGCTGAGTGTTCCTCCCCCCGACAAAGAGCTGCTGTCAGCAAAGACAACAACACGACTTCAAGTCTAAAAAGAAAATCAAATTAATTAAAAGTCACTGCCTTTAGCTGAGGCTGAGACAGGACCCAGAGATCCTAAACAAACATTAATCATGGATTTCCTTGCTCCCAGCCAGCTCCCTGTTCCCATTCCCCAGTCCTCCCACAGCATTCATTCACCAGCTTTGCAACCCATTGCCCAGCTGGAAAAGCTGCAGCTCCAAAAGGCTCCTGAGCCCTCTGCCCAGCCCAAACCCACCTGCAGTGCCCACACCTGGTGAAATTCTGTGCCAGTCCAAGCTGCCACCAGAGAGGGAAGCAGGGCTTTGTTCTATAGTCCCAGGGAAGCTCCTCTTGGTGCCATCATGGGCCCCATGATGGGTGAAAGGTGCCAGGCCTTGGGTAAATCTTGTGAAAATCTCCACCAGCTTTGCACAATCGGTGCAAACTACCCAGACCAAATCTACGAACCACAAGGGCAAAGGGACAGCTCAAGTCATGTATAAAAGTCATGGATTAGCTCTTGGATGAGCCAGAGGGAGGGAAAGTTCCTGCATGTACACACCAGCCAGCCAGGTTCTGCTTCTCCTATCCCTGCTCCCTGCATGGATCCAGACTTGAAATCCCTCTAAAACTAACCCTGGGAAGTTTTTTTGGTGGTTCTCCTTGAAGTTCTCTGTGAATGAGGGAGGGAGGCTCTACTCCTGACGCCAAAAAATACATGGATGACCCAGAATTAATTTGACTGCACCAGAGAGATACAGCAGCTCCTCTGCTAACCTTCTCCAGAGCTCCCCCATGACATTCCATGCCATTCCCAGTGGGAAAGTTTGCTCCACAGGCAGGAAATTGTCCTGTGAAAGTGTCATTTGGAGTGACCTGCTGGCCACAGGAGCCCTCAGCACAGGGTGACCCCAAAGCTTTGCTGTGTCCAAGAGCTCTTGGGGCAGGAACTGGGGACAGGAACAAAGCAACCCTCACTTCACTAAGCAGGTTTTGGTGCTCAGCATTAATTGAAGAAGGAGGCAGAGCTGTTCTCCATGGATTAGCAGCCCAAGCCTTGTTTTTGCTGTAATTCCAGGAAAGCTGTAATGTTTATTTCTGAATGCTGCCCCCAGGCTGGGCCTGAGCTGTGGACATGCCCTCTGACACTCCAAGGACCATAAATCACCCCTAGAATCATGGAATTAATGGAACTGGAAATATCTCCAAGATCAAGTCCAACCATCAACCCAGCCCTATCACGTTCACCACAAACCCACGTCCCCAAGTGCCACATCCACACATTTTCTGAACACTTCCAGGGATGGACACTCTACCACTTTGCTGTTTCAAGGCTTGACAACCCTTTCTGTGAAATAATTTTTCCTGCTATCCAATCTAAATCTCCCCGGCACAACTTGGGGGGACCATTCCCTCTCACCCTATTGTGATATTTGTATGCATCTCCCTGAAATTCCGTGCCAAGGATGTGCCACTTGGACAAAATCAGGTTTGTGGGAGGTTCAAGCAAGTGAGAAAGATCTACCCAAAACATCTTTGCTTCTCACAAGAGTGGTCAAAGCTCCTTTTTTCCGGGTACAGATTCCAACCACGGGAATATTCTCCCTTTCCTGTTTGTTCTGTCAGGGCCTGGCTGTGTTTAAAGGCTCCTTCTGCCCCGTGTGAAATCCCTGAAGTGCCCAAGGCCAGGCTGGATGGGGCTTGGAGCAACCTGGGACAGTGGGAGGTGCCCCTGCCCATGGTCTTTAAGGCCAATTCCTACCCAAGCCATTCCATGATTTAAGACAGCGATTTTAAGCCCTATAAAATGTTCACATTTCACAGCAAAACATGGAGCTGTTCCTGTGTTTTATTCCTCTGGAAAACATCACTTCAAACTAACACTTTAACATAGCTTAAAACTAACATTTAACACTGCTGGCTGTTCTTGATTTTAAGTCTTAAATTTAATTTCCATGCAAAACACCAGGACCTTCACACCCCTAAACCACTGGGGCAAGCAAGGAGTGGGGTGGTTTCTTTTTGGGATCACTTGGCATATGTTTTCCAAGAAAACTGTCCAGTTCCTAAGAAAACC